GCCGGCCTCCGCTAGGGCATCGCCGTCGCCCCATTGGCCCGCGATCTCGAAGCAACGCAAGGCCAGGGACTTGTCCTGCTCGATACCCCATCCGTTCAGATGACTTACTCCAAGCTCGTAGATACTCAAGGCAAACTGCGCTCGATATGCCTTCTGTAGCTCCTTGGCACGAGCGGGAATGGTTGGGTTCGAATCGTCCATCAATTCGATACCAACAGAATCCACCGCCTTGCGCAACCACTGCACACCCTCCCGTTGATTCGGTCGCATACCCCAGCCATGTCGACAAGCCAACGCGTAAAGTAACATTCCGGTTGGATGGTTCTGCTTGGCTGCAATGCGCAGGTGATATGTCGATTCATTCAAAGACCCTCTTTCATGGCATTCGATACCCTTGGTCACATGCTCATCCGCGGTAATTACAGCCGATGTTGTCGTGTTTGTGCGCGCGGTTTGCGGACGAACGGTCGATTCAGAACCTGCAGAGGAAGTGGCATCGGTGTGGTCTATCTTCGGGGCCTCTGCTTCCCGTTGCTCCGTAGGAGTACTTTCGGTGGGAGCGACCTCGGTAGGCTCAGGATCAGTAGGTGCAGGCGCGGTAGGTACAGGCTCGGTAGGTGCAGGCTCCGCAACAGAAGGCTCGGGCTCGGGCTCAGGCTCGGCAGGAATCGCTGGAGATGGTCTGACTTCCGGAGATGACGGGCTTTGTTGAGGCAGAGGGGGCTCCGGCGTCAAGTGACGAGCGGAAGCGGGAGACTCATACATTGAGCGCGTCTTCGAGTGGATTGAAGCCTGCAGAGAGGGGGTAGGCGACGGGGTCCTTGCGGGTTGCGGAGGTCCCGCTGTGCTGTGCCGAGTTGGGCTCTCGAACAAAGGCTCCTGCCACTCGAAATGAGGGGTTTGGAGGCCGGAGAAGACCACCGAATCCCGCGAAACCGCACGTCCCCGGGGCAGCGAGTACTTGGCATAGGTGTAGCAAGAAACAGCAGAAGATGGGTCTTCATTGGGGTTGATCGGCAGCTCCGATGGCGATGGTACCACAATGGGACTAGGCTTATGTCCACGATTTAGCGCGCCTTGCGAGTTGGCAACTGGCGGTTCCGGCGAAGCCCTCGGACCTGGGGCAGAAAGACTTGTGCTTGACCGACTCAAGGGACGTGAAAAGTTATAGGGCCTTTGAAGATAATTGCCAGCGTTCGAAGTCTCGGAGCTCATAGACGGCGATCGGGGATGCGAGCGTGTCATGGAAGAGGACATCGAAGAGTATGGCAGTGATACGGCGCTGCTGGCGGACATCTTTCGGGGCTTTGAGAACGTCGACCCGGCATTCGAGCTGCTGTAGTCATCGTCGGAGCTTTCGGGTTGTACGGCTCGAGCACTACTCGATGGCCTAGACAGTGGCGATCCCGGGGGTGCTAGGCCTCGTGGGGGGATGTTCAAGCGAGAGACAGAATCAGTCGAAGAGGTCCGAGACGGTGCCACCATCGAGACCCCCAGCGAAGGGGGCGGGCCGCCCGGAGTAAGGCCAGTGGGGGAGACAGCATAGAACCGAGGAGGGCCTTCCGGCGGAGCTTCAGGTGCGCTGTGTGAGGACATGGCATCCTCGGGTGATTCAGCGCGTGGCAGGTCAAGGGCGTTCACGCTCGGCTCTTTTTTCGGAGTCGTGTCTTCGTCCTCCTCGGGGTAATCTCCCACTTCGCTGGTCAGGTGCGATACCGCACTCAGACGAGGATGTTCAGACTGCGGGCGAAATTTGGGTTCCTCCACCTCGGGGCTCAACTTCTGCGTAGGTTGTCTTGACAGTTCATTGCGTCCACCATGACCTCTTGCGCCAGTGGAAGAATCGCTCGACGATGGGGATCGAAAATAGCCGGGACGGGGTTGCGAGAGCGAACGAGCCACGCTGGACGGAGGCAGCCTGCTCATGCGCCGGTTCCTCCGTGCCGATTCCTCCAGTTGACGAGCAAGGAGTCGACCTTGAGCAGCGAAGGCATCGAGTGGAGAGAGCGCTGGAGGGATTTCACCATCATAGTGCTCAATGCGTGGAGACGGAGCCCCGCTGCGAAGGACGTCGTGGGAGGGAGAGCGGTGATCAAATTTGGGCCGGGAGGCCATGGTTATAATCCAGGATTCCTCAAATTGTTTCGAAGATAAAGAGATGTTCGGTTTCGTTTTCCGGAGTCAAAAACAGGAACCACACGTAGGGTCTTAATCGATCAAATCATTAACCACCGTGGACAGGCGAGGGGCTCTATTGTTCAATCGCGTTGCATGAAGAATGTGGGATGACGGGAGTTGGAATGGGGGGAACAGTCGGGCAGCGCTTGATGCTCTGCACACACTGGTAAGCCGGAGGCGCGCAAGAACGGTTCTTCGAAGCACTGCACAGCTGACAAGTGCGGACAAAAGGAGGGGGCGGAAGACACAAAGGAATGACAGCCCCAGGGAGATAAGCAAGAGGGTCTGGAAGAGAAAAGAAGCGAACGAACAGTTCCGAACAGTAGATAGTAGTAGTTAATAGGTGTATGGATGTGGATGGGTGAGGTCGGTACTAGAGAGCCGGAGGGGAAACGGCACCCAATTGGTGTTGGTTGTGGTGTGATAATGTGATGGTTTTCCCCGGCAGATAACAGTCACTACTTACCCCTACCACTATATTAGTAGTATGGAGTGAGAGGCAGTTGAACAATCAACTAGTTGACAGTTCAAGAGTCGTCACACAAGGAGACCATGAACTGGCATTGCGGAGAGGAGAGAGAAAGAGAGAAAGAGGGGAGAGGGAGGGAGGCGGGGGGGAAATGGTAGAGAGATGGAAAAAGGGACTAAGAAGGAGGGAGTTTGAAGCGAGCGAAACTGGAAGAGCGTGTGAAGGACGTTTTGGCCCATTTGATCAGGTTCGAGGCAGGAGGTTTCGTTACTTTACTTTACTTTACGCCCTGACGATCCCCAAACAAGGACCGTCGTTCTGGGCGTCTCCACGCGGAGGGGAAGAAAAGAACGGTAACGCCATTACCGACGGGTGCCATGCAGTCTTCCCCCCAATCACTCCTGTTTGCTGGAGCCAGACAGTGCCATACACCCGCCCACAGGCCCATTCTTTCAGGGGTTGCCGTTTCCCCGTTACATACCCATACCGGACAGCTGACAGTTCCTCGGTCTTGGCATCCACCCAACTGCAGGCGGATCTTTACACCTTTTTTTTTCTTTCGTTTTTATTTTACCGGGGCGAAGTCAGGGGCTTGCATTACTATTGTTCGCTTTATCGATGATTATTGATGCCCGGACTCCCCCAAAGGTACCAAAGAGAGTTTTCTATCTAGCACGGGGAAAACCTGTCTGTCGATGGGTTTGACCAGCTTCTAGAAGGCAATAGCATTCTCGACCATCGTGAGTCTGTCTGTCGGGTTAGTGGTTCAGCCTGAGTCGACGGTGGAGTCTGAACCGCACCGTGGCTCTGCGATGCTATTTATATTCGCTTCTTCCCAGTTCCCACCCCCTGCAAATTTTCGCATCCCAACCTTGAGAACCGCTGCTGATTCGTTCATCTCGTCCCATGGGTTCTTTCCTCTCAGGTACCATTTGTTGCTCCAACGACCGCCGTTCGTTTCGCTTCTGCCATGGTGCCCTCCCGGCTAGTGTTGTTATTGCGATAGTCGCCCGTTGACTAGCCAGCCGGTCTGTGTGGTGCAAGGAGGTAGATCTTGTCTAAGATTCTGGGTAGATGTTTTCCACCCTCTTTCCGTCATCTTCATCGCTGGTAACAGCAAAATTAAAACCAGTCTGAAGCAAGATGATCACCATCCGGAACAAATGTCTCATCTGACTGCGTTCTCGTTACTTGGACCTGTTGTTGTTGAGCGAGATATGTTGTAGATTGTTCACTCAGTTTAAAAAGAGCGGCACCTTGAGGGGGGGTGCGCGTCCTCAGCATGGACGCCTAAGTCAAGGAGTCTTAGCCATCCCACATCATCGCCAAGGATGAGCATTATTCGATGACGATGGTGTTGATGATGCTTTTCTTCGTGTCCCCTTCCTAAGGACCCAACAATTGGCCCCGGGGCAGGTGCTCGTTTTGTCAGCTGGTCCGGAATCAGGCACAACGTTGCGGGAACGCCAAACAGTCTAAAACGATCGCTTGCCAGTGATGATTGGTGCGACAATTTAAACACTGGAGCATCGGGGATTTCTACCGCTGGACCTCCGACCAGCTTCTTCTTAGACTTTTCTACGGAGTACACCCACATCGACTCGTCAATACTCTATAGTAATAATGTCAGCTGCCTGAGGTACATAAGTAGGCCTCATCGTGGCCCTATCCAGGGCTGACACTCATCTTTAAATCCATATTGAACCTTACGGATCAGCGCTTGGTATCACCAACTGCTTACTGTCGAGCAATCTGAGAATGTCGGCAGGAAGCCCCGCTCGATCTTATCGTAAGATTGACTATCTACTTGCTTAGCAGTCAAAATATTGAACAGGGATGTTGCTGCAGCCAATGTTGTTCCTGACACTCAGTGGCTGGCAATAGCGCAAGGGAACCGACAGCCGTTGGAATGTCTCCATCCAGTGACATAAAACGGATTTCATCCATGGGAAGGACAATCAAATAAAATGAAAATGAAAAATCTCTTCAACCTCACAGACCACTCTCCCTATCGTGAGCTAATTGAGGTACGGAGGAGCAGCGGAGACAACCATACTCCCGGTTGTCCAATCATGACGCACGGCAGGCCGACTAAATGAGTATTTCGGCGACGCTCCGCCGAAGCTTAGGTTTTAGCAGCATGAGCCTAATCAACTCGAGATGATCAGTCGTTAAGGAGAAGAATACTAATGTGAAGGGGAGGGGGCGTGTGAATTTTGACAGGGACACAAAGGACAAACCTTCCACCCAATCTCTTTGTAAAACATCTCTGGTCGCGTTGTCCCTTGCGCTTTGTTCACCCCTCCACATCGAGCAGATCCCCATGTCTATCACCACCCCATGAAACAACTGAACACACAGCCCTAAAAACTACCGCTTATACTATACTACCCTATAGTCTACACGCGACACCGCGACAGCCAAGCCCAAGGCGTGGAGCCCTCTCAACATGCTGAACCGACTGAGAAACCGCTCCCTCTACGACCTCCTCCACGTCGATCCCTCTCGAGACCGTGCCCACGTCTACGAAACCTCCTGGCTTCTCCCTCCCCTCCCCTACGCCATCCTCCGCGGCACCATCTCCCTCTACATCTTTACCAGCATCTTCTTCATCTGGGGTTGGAGCGGCACTCATGGCGACCGTGCAGAAATCGGCGAGAGCTTCAGCTACTTCACCTGGCTGACCTACTGGGGAATAGGTTTCTACATGCTCTTCGCCTCCATCCACACGGCCTGCTATGCACTGAAGGGCCATTCGGTCCTTTTTGACCGCTGGCCTCGCGCCCTTCGCGCTCTCCATGGCCTCTTCTACACCACCGTCACTACCTACCCATTCCTCGTGACCGTCGTCTTCTGGGGAATCCTCTACTCGGGTCCTTGGTACACCGTGACATTCAGCGGATGGCAGAATGTAAACAACACCCCTCCTCCACCTACTACTCCCCCCGCCCCCTATCTTCCCCAAATCTCACAACGAGACTAATGATATAATCAGATCTCCCAACACGGCCTCAACTCCCTCTACGCCCTATCGGAAATCATCCTCCCAACCACCGCCCCGCACCCATTCCTCAGTCTCACCGTGCTGATCTTCATCCTCCTTCTCTACGTCTCCCTCGCCTATCTCACCTACCACACTGAGGGGTTCTACACGTACTCGTTCCTCGACCCCGGTCCGCATGGCGAGAAGAGTGGCCATGTTGCGGGCTACTGTTTCGCCATTCTGGCGATCATCGTCGTTTTCTTCTTGTTCTCGTGGTCCGCCATTTGGTTGAGGCGGAGAGCGACTGGCGGGAAGGTGAAGAGGTCCGTCTATGATAGGGATTATGCGGGTGCTGGGATGGGTGGTGATGTTGAGGAGGAAGTGGGAGTGGAGGAGCTGAGGGAGGAGAAGTGAGATATTCATCTATCAAATCCCTTGGTTCATTCAGTTGCTTATGAGGTAGTTGAGGAGATGGTGCGGGGTGTAATTTGGTGCGATATGGTTGATATGATATCCTGTGGGTTGAGTTGGGTTGGTGGGTATAGTGGTTATTACACTAATTAATATTGGGTTACTGTATATTACAGATACAGATGCGTATAGCTTTAGCCACATATATATGTTACATATAGTTCATTGAAAAACCCTCTTATAGAAACTACTTATTATGAATAAGAAGAGATGCAGTCAAGAAGGAATGTCAATATGACGCGTTAGAAGAAGAAAGAAGAGATGAGATGATATCATTTAACACTAGTCCGTATCAGGAACCCCCATAATTAATATGCTTAAGCCATTAAACCTTCTCCCAGCTCGTCTCACTACTACCCCCACTCCCATTCTCCGGGGGTGTTTGCTGTCCGGTCCGCAACCCCAGCATCCAGCCTACCAGTCCAGCAGGAACCCACTCGCCGATGAAGTGGTACGTCCGTGCTCCCCGGCCGACATAGATGACCGAGTTCTTGGCCACCCTTCTGCCGAAGATATCCTTCGATGGGGGGTCTAGTGCGTCCAGGACAGCGTAGTGTAGAGCCCGGGCTGGCGAGCCGCGGATCGTGCTAGGCCCGGCGGATGCAGCTGGTCGCTGTTCGATGCTGTTGAGATACTGCGAGGCGTATAGAGATCGTTGTTGCACACTCCAGGCAAGGACTTCCGTGCCAGTGATGTGACTCTGGGCGTTGCGATACTGCGAACCCAGGTCGATGTTACCGAGCTTGAGTTCCACAACGTCGATGTTGTTCTGTTGGAGGAGGCTGAGTTCTCTGCGCAAGGAGGTTGCGAACCCTGACAGGGCGCGAGTGGTTGCGACTTCGGGTCCGGTGAAGGGAGCGGAAAGGGACGAGGAAATGGACGGGTAGGCGACGACGATGGTGCTGTTGGAGTTGCGGAGGGTGAGGAGAGGGAGGAAGATCTGGGTTGTGAGGATGGGAGAGAGAAGACGGGTGTTGACGGTGTCGATCCAGGAAGAAGGTGGGATTGTGGCCACGGGGCCGGAGGCGTAGTTCGGAGAGGGCACGAGGATGAGGCCGCTTAGTTGGCAGGTGTGCGGGGGCACACCGGCCATGGGCGACTGAGGTCGAGAAATAAGGGAGTAGATCTCATTTAGGGAGGGATGTATTTCGGAAGGTGAGGAGGGTGTCTGTTCAAATCGATATTGTCAGTTTGGCGCTAGATTCCCGCGAGGCGGTTGATTGCGCTTACGGCTGAGAGATCCAGCCAGAGGGCTTTGATATCTGCTCGGTTTTCCGACTGCACAATATGTTCCTCCTCTGCAGATGTGACTGTCACGTAGACTATGTAACCTCGACGTTCCAAATCGGCGGCGATCGCTCTGGTCATCGGCTCATGAGGCGACCCGGCGACGACTGTCCCAATGATTAGACTGCGAAGTATAGAAAAAGTAGGAGGTATCCATACCCACTATTTCCTTCCGGGCTCCATTTCCAGCTCGCCTGGCTCTCCGTCGCTTTCCGTTCAGTTTCTTATTCCCATAATACAACACACAACTGGTGCCCAAGAACGCGATGATGGCAGCACTCCATGCCCGGTTGCGCAAGAACCAAGTGTGCACGCGATCAACGAATCCTCGCGGTATGGGCGGACTGGGTCGGTTTCTGGATACGGGCCGAACGGAAGTAGGTAGCCATGACTGGCTGGAGAGGGTATCGCGGAGTGCGTTGGCTGCGTGGTCCACTTGTCGGTCGATCGACTCGGCGACTTGGAGAGAATATCTCCTTACGTCATGCGGTATCGAGGCAAGCTGGAGAAGAGGAAAGCGTCAGTACAAAAGCGGCGAGCAGAGGGCGCATGCTACCAACTCACGTAGTCGAAGAAAAACTGGTCGTCACTAGTCATGATGATGCTGTCTGCTCAGGAACCCGAGCTTTCTGAGATAAAGAGGTTGATGAAGATTCGCCGGCAATGAAGAATCCGATTCTTATCGGCGGGCGGGTCACATGAGCCTTTCCGCCCTATCGGAGCGCCCGAATCTATACGGCTGCACCGTTGATGTGAATGCTGCACTGTATGCAACAAGCATATGATGGGTCGTAAGGGGCCTGGCAATGTTCACAATGCGCTGAACTGATGCATAAGTTCCGAAAGATAGGGTTGGAACACCGACGATAGCCGTGTCGATATGTCATTGATTTGGCTACTATATATTACTGTCATTTCATGTCTGCAACCACTCAGTAGTAGTAGAAGTCTTAAATGAAACCAATGGGTACAACGAGTGTAACAATGCATGAGAAGCTGCCAAAACTAGTAATATTATGGCTATCTAAAATACCAGAGCATTGCCAAAGCCAAGACTCCTGTAAGACCCATGTCAATGGCACACGGACAAGAGGGTACAATAAGACTGCGACTGAATTGCATCCAAGAAACTCCACTTTACTATCAATGCAAATATAGAATCCTCAGTGCTTCTAGCTATCGAGTGAGCCCTAGTGAGACAATAAGCCGATTCCTGCAATCTTATTGTCGTGTTGGGGAAGTCCGGACACATGAGAGCAATCCATACTACTCCAACGACTCGAGGAACAAGCGACTTGTCTGTGAAATTAAATTACATTCAAACATAACATGGGGTGAGGGGCCCACAGACGTCTCTGGGAATACACGATGGGTTGATGAGATTCCAGTGTGATTTTAGCATCCAAGCATGTTATAGTAGCTATGGTTAGGTAACCAATAAAGACAGGAACAATCAGAGCATTCTGTAGGGATCATACAAATAAGAACCTCCCATCATAAAGATGGTACTGTGTATTTTGTAAATTTAGCATATAACATTTTATTTGTGTCTCCGTCTAATTAATGAAAAAAAATGATGGGGAGGAAAAAAGTATGACCAGACTGGGGCTCGATCCCAGGACCTTATCGGTGTTAACGATACGTGATAACCAACTACACCATCCGGCCAACCTGTTGAAGATACCTCTCGATTTTAACTTCATAATCCAAATCTATTGTCAGTAGGCTAAGCGCACCGTCTGTCGCATGCAACCGGACAACACACCCATTAGTTGCTCTTCTATATCACAGTAACGATTATCATTTCTGCTGTATTTCCCGGCGAGGGATTGGTCCAGCATTCTGTATAATTGTTTTCTCAAAGATGGGTTGGGCTCAGCTCAACTGGCCTAGCCTCTTAGTTTGTGACAATGAGCTGCCAAGCGCAATTGGAAGGCAGCTGTTGTATAAGTATATATATAGCCCGTGGCATAGTACTGGGACACGAGCTCAGCCTCCATGTGTCATATTTGTTTCTATGCTCTGTGAAAGTGGCCTTTGTAATGTGCAGAATTATATCTATCGCGCAATTTTCATGGCCTCCTGCGCCATCAACCAGTTCCACCAGCCGTACGGAGTAGGGGACCACTTTGCATGTCCCTGAACTAAGTGTCTTTCTATGTTATCTCACAGAAGGAAGGTCTCGTGTCGAAAGCCAAGAGTACTGAGGCAAGTTCGCGGAAGAGAAATCTTCCGTTCACTATAATAGGTATTCGCAGTGGTGGCCCACCAGGTTTTAGACTATGCTAATCCAGCCAAGAAAACGCAGATCGCAGAGGAATGACACCGCTCAGTCATACTCCATGTATGTAAAGCAAAGGGGAATCCTTCGTGCTTGACCTTTAGATTGATATCCAGAGGCAGCAAGCATAGTCCGCTCAGTCAGCACTTCATCATAAGTCATGATCAGTCCCCAATGGTCGATCAACCATTTAAGACTGTGACACATAAGAAAGCCGCATTGTATTTGGCGGGATAGAATCAGGCTCTCCAGCCTTATTGCTATCGCCATGTGTGGAGCAGGTCTGCCCTGTGCCGAGATAGTGTTGACAATCGCCCGAAAACCGAGCCACAATTCTTCTGAAGTATATACGTCTTGAGCTCCCGACTACTCCTTCAGCCTACATGAAACAACATTATCAAGCATACCCGGAACCGACAACTCCGACAAGCCTGTGCTATAATCGCATGTCTCGGCAAAGCGAGAAACCCTGGTAGTTCCCGCCTCCAGAGTGCGGCACGATATACTCCTGCCAATTAAGGAGGGGCTCACGGGGAAGCTACTCACCGTTGTAGATCTCATGGACACTTGCGATTGTCTCACGAGCATCCCTGTTTGAAGGGTCGTGGATTATCCGCAAAGCTGCATTGGGATTTTGCTTTGTGACTGCCAGACGGGATACATTACCGTTTCCAGTTTCTAATATAGCCATTCGAAAGCCTCTTGATCAAATTGCCAGATATTGGGAGTTCGACTATTTTCTATTTAGGTAGTGAACCCAATCCGCAATTCCAGTGCGGAAGAGTTGACCGATGTTTCGGAGTGGATCATTGTCCAAGATGTGCAATCCCTACTATGTAGACCGAATGATTGCGGGGCGCCTCAGCCACTGCCGAGTCATTCAGCCTATTTATCTAGCCGCCGTCTACATCGGCCGAACCAATTGTGTTTTAAGTTCGGGATGGCCAACCACAGTCTAGAGATCGCCCACAGTGTTCTGACTGCGTGTCTGTATGGTAAGAGAACAATTGGATGCCCCTCTTGAGTGCTTGACGCTTAGCTCGGTACCCTATCGGGGGCCAGATCTAATCGCCCTGCCAAGTACTACCTCTTCTGATAGTTGGCCCTGCTATGAGCCGCTAATCGGTGGGAGTACGGATTGGTGATGTCAATATTGTCCTGCCCATGCAAGCCCCTCGGTCTCTCGCTTTCGTAAGGTGGCCGTCTGGTTGATCCGCTCCAAGGACAACTCAACACAGAAGAAAAAAAAGGACAGACACATTTACGCTACGTAAAAGTTCACGCAGAAAAGGGGAAGGAGGTGGGAACCGATGGTCCAATTGGGCAATATACACGTTCCACCTTAGCATCCATGCTAGAGCTTCCTCGGTATAAAAACAAGGGAACGCCCCTGCTTACCAACTGGGCCGAGTACCCATCCTGGTAAACTGCCAATGCTATGTCTC